CTAAGGGCCCTCCAGGCCCTGACATCCTTTGTTCTAAGGGCCCTCCCAATTCTGACCTCCTGTGTTCTAAGGGCCCTCCCAGCCCTGACATCCTTTGTTCTAAGGGGCCCCCAGCTCTGATATCCTGTGTTCTGAGGCAGAAGTGTCAAAGTCAGCCTCTTGGACTCTCCAGTTTGCTCTGAATCAGACTGAAATGGAATTGGGAATGTTTCACAAAATAAATAAAAATATAATCCAATATAGATAATAGTAATTTGTCAATTTGTTTCTATTTGAGTTTGATACCACTGGTCTAACGTGCCTTCACTCACAAACATAGAGAGAAGGTCCCTAAAGGCTGTCCAGTCCGACACCCCTCATGTCATGGATGAAGAAGACGGAGGCCCGAGACACAATCTGATTTGCCCAGAGTCACTCAGGGAGTACGTGGCAGAAGCTGGATTCAAACCCAGGTGCTCTGGCTCCAAATCCCTCATTCCTATCACTGAATTGCACTGTCATAATGCCTTCAGCGCTCATCTCTGAGTAAGAAAAAAAATGGGTGCCCGCTGAATCTTCACAGGACCAGTTGCAGACTCTTAGGTCCTGGCCCTGGGCCATTAAATGTCCAAGGCATGGCAGACACAGACAGCAGTTAGTGCCAGGCCAGGGAGGAGGGCTCATGTGGCAAGAGGCCCAGGGGGTGCTCATCCCAGCCAAGCCCCAGCCAGGCCCCTTTGGTGGGACAGGACAGCATTCTGCATCCTGGACAAAAGGGCAGGGCTCCATGCCGGCCAGCGCTGGCCGAGAGGCAACCGGAGGGCACGGCAGGAAGACTCAGGGATGGCCTCCTTTGAGCAGTCTAGTACAGAAGAGCAAGGGCTCCCCCGCTGAACTCCAGCCTGCTGGTCAGACTCACTGAGACGGAGCCAAGAGAGACCTTAGAAGTTATCCAGCCCAAGGCGCAGGGAAGGCAAGTGATTTGCCCCCCGTCACAGGGGAAGCAGCAAAGGCAGGATCCAAACTCAGGTCCCCTAACTCCACATGTGGAGCTGTGCCTCCCACAAGAGGGAAGCTGCTGCCACAAGAGACTTGGCCCGGTCCCCAAAGAACAGCTAGCACTGGAGGTAAGAGTCCGCTCTGAGGATCACAGACTGTCAGAGCACAGGGACCTCAGAACTCATCTGGTTGAAGCCCTCTTCCCGAGGCCAGGCATAGGCTGTGGAGAAGGCTGGGAGACGAGGCTGTTTCCAGGTCTCCTGAGACCCAGCTCTGTCTCCCACCCCTCCCTGTCTCTCTCCAAAATGCTTAAGAACTTACCTTGTTGGAAGGTTCCAGCTTGAGGGCAGCTCTCAGGATGGGGATGGCCTCAGCATACTCACCTTGCTGTGCCAGCACCTATAGGAGGGCAGGTAGCATTGATCAAGGACATACTGAAGGTCCCCATCTACTGGGCCCCAAGCCTTGCTCAGGCAAGAGAAAGGAAGGGCTTTGTCCCTCCCCTTCCCCCAAGGAATTTCATCTCTCACTGGGGAGATGAAATTCTGGACCTCAGTTTCCTCAACTGTAAAATGAAGGAGTTAGACTAAGGAGCCTCCCAGCTCTGTGTTTGAAGGTTCTCTGTTGTAAGGGCCCTCCCAGCTCTGACATCCCATGCTCTAAGGGCCCTCCCGGCTCTGACATCCCATGTTCTAAGTGCCCTCCCAATCCTGACATCTGCTAGTCTGTGACTCTCATTCTCACAGTATCTGTGTAGGTGCTCCACAGGACACAGAATGATGTGATCCGTGTGCCCTGGGCTTCACTGAGGAGGCTGCAGGTTGGGGCAGGGCTGGCCAAGGCATCTGCTGGCCACCTAGGGCTCACCTTGCCCTTCCGGAACAGGGCCTTGATGTTATCTGGCTGGTGGCTGAGTGCCAGGCTGCAGGAGTTCAACGCTGCACTGTAGTGGTCCAGCTTGAGCTGTGAGGCAGCCAGGTTGTTCAGACATTTTACCTTCAGCTCCAACAATTCTGCCTCCTCCTCTGGGCTCACATCAACTGGCATGGGGGTGCAAAGGAGCATAAGGGAACATGACCCTTCACACAGCCCACCCCAGCCCCTGGAGACATAGAGGGCCCAGCCTTGACCAAGGCAAGATAGATGGGCATCAGTGGCAGGAGGGGGCGGGGTTCATAGCTGGGACCTCCACAAGGGCTCCAAGATCCAGGCCAGGAAGTCCCCCACAGACATGGAAACTCCCCGAACGTTCCACCCCTTGGGGAAGCAGGGACAGAGCCCAATGGCACCTTTGGAGTTGGCACTGATGACCTTGAGCGCCAGGTCGTAGGAGTTGGCAGCCAGGACAAAGTCGGCCCTCTGGTAGTGGGCATTCCCACATTCCCGCTTGCGGTCAGCCAGGGCTACTCGCTCTCGCCCACTCAGCAGCTCCAAGTCAGGCCCGTCCATGGCTGTCTGCAGAGCCACCTCGAGGTGAAGGGTTGAGTTGGGAGGGATGGCAGGACTTCTGTGGGGCGACAGGGGCCAGAAAATCAGGGCATCTTGATACAGCCTCCCCAGGGAGCCCTCCCACAGATTCCCCCAATGGGAGCAGGGGAAGGACGGTCTTCCAGCTCCTGCCTAATCCCCAGATCTGACTCCAGGTGACTCGCTTTCCCTCCCCGGGCCTTGGTTTCCTTATCTAGAAAAAGAGAGAATGAGACCAGGTCACTCTGCGGTCCCTTCTAGCTGGGACACTGAGAAATCCCTGACCAAGGCAGTGTTTGCTTGTCGAGCAGCTCACCTACTAGAAAGAAAGTCCTTCCAGAGACTCTTACTGTCTGATGAGGGACAGGCAGTATCAGCTTTCCTCCATCACCCATTTATTGAAGGGGAGAAAGGATAAGGGGAGCAGGAAGGGCGGAGCTCCCGGCCTCAGGGACACTTTGGTCAGGAATGAGATGAACAGTGACCCTGGTGATTCAGCTGGGAGGATCTGCCCCACCCTACCCCGGCGTTGTCCAGAGACCTCCAGGGAACCTCGGATTCCCAAGAAGATCCTAGTAGGAAGCTCCCAGCATGGAAGAGGGGAAAGAGCCCCGGACAGGAAGACAGGATAACGAAGAGGTCCTCGGTCATTAATTCTCCATATGAACTGGACACTGTCCCTCTCTGGATTTCAGTTATCCAAACTGCTGAGTAAAGGGGTTGGACTAGATGTCTGTTAAGGATCTTCCCAGCTCTGACATCCTGTGTTCTAAGGGCCCTCCCACCTGTGACATCTTGGGTTCTAAGGACCCTCCCAGCTCTGACATCCTGTGATCTAAGGGCCTTCCCAGCTCTGACATCTTGAGTTCTAAGGGCCCTCCCAGCTCTGACATCTTGGGTTCTAAGGTCCTTCCCAGCTCTGATATCTTGGGTTCTAAGGGCCCTCCAAGCTCTGACATCCTGTGTCCTAAGGGCCTTCCCAGCTCTGACATCTTGGGTTCTAAGGGCCCTCCCACCTGTGACATCCTGTGTTCTAAGGGCCTTCCCAGATCTGACATCTTGGGTTCTAAGGGCCCTCCCAGCTCTGACACTCTCTATTTAAAAATCTCTTGCAGCTCTTAGGTTCCATATCGCTCTGCCTGCTGGGCACCAGTTCCTGCCCCAGGCAGGTCAACGCTCAGGCCTCCTCTACTCCATCTCACCTGCCATGAGATCCATAGCAGTATTTGGCATCTGCAATGATCAGGGCCGTTTCACCCACATTCATGAGCTGCACACTCAGATCCAAAGCCTTCAGAAACAAAGAAGAAGCCAGCCAGATGAGGATGAGTAATAAATCAGGGTGGAGAGGGAGAATAAGTGTATACAGTGCCTACTTTAGCCAGGCACTGTGCTAAGCACTTTACAAACATTATCTCATCTGATCCTCACAACCACCGTGGGAGAGGCAGGTGCTATTACTGTCTCCATTTTACATCTCTGAGGCAAACAGAGGTGAAGTGACTTGCCCAGGGTCACACAGGGAGTAAGTCTCCAATCCCAAATTTGAGCTCTGGTCTTCCTAACTCCAGACCCATGTTCTCTCCACTGTGTCACCAGCTGCCTCTAGGGGACAGCCCCACTCCCCAACCCCAGGCGTGGCTCTCTGCGACCAGGGCCTAAGCACCATCGCCGCTCTCCCCTGCTTCACAGCACCTGGAGAAAGTCACAGTCTCCTAGGGTGAAGGTGAGGCTTGGCTGCTTCTCCACCTGGGTTCCACCATCCTCAAGTGAGACCTTCAACTGCACTGTCACATCCTGGCCTTTGCTGGGCCGCTCGGCCCCGGGCGGGGCAGCTACTAGAATCTTCTTTCTAAGCAGTCCATTACCTAGGAGGGAGACAGAGGACAAGGTGACATCTCAGGGGTGATTATTGAGGCCCCCTCAACTTTCAATTCAAACCTGGGTGCTCCTTTGGTCAGGAGCACTGGGTGGATGCACAGGGAGGCTCAGACCAGAATCCCACAGGACAGGCTGTAAGCGGTATCACTGGAAGAAACACTCACCTCTCCGAGATCCTGAACCAAGCAAGCCCTCATGTGTTAACACCTACCACGTGTCAGGCACGGTGCTGAATGCTGGAGTGCTGCACTAGCGTCTTTATGGCAAGTGCGATACCGGGAAGGTACAAAGATGAGGTATGAAGCAATTACGATCTAGAACCACACCAGAAGGAAGGGGATTTGGTCTCACATCTAACCCCAGCTACCTGGGCCATTCTGGACACAACACTTTCTTTCTCTGGGTTTCATTATTTTCATCAGTCAAATAGATGGAGCGGGGCGGGGGGAGACATTAGACCAGAAAGTCCACAAAGTGCCTTCCAACAACAAGAAAAAGCCTTTCTAGAAAATTATTCACGTCAGTACTAGGTATAATAACAAAAAACTGGAAACAACGTCCATGTGCAACAGCGAGAATGGCTGAACAAATGGTGACATGTGGATGTAATGGGACAGTTATCACATTATAAGAAATGCCAAGGACAATGGGACTCCCCAAAAGGCTGGGTTGGAAATGACCTCAATGCCCATCTGGTCAGATCCACACTAGGCCAGTCCCCTTGGCCAGAGAGTGGCCGGCCAGCCTGTGCTGGAGGGTCTCTAGGGAGGAGGACCCCACCACCTCTTGGGGGCAGCTTTGGTGATGGGAAAGCTGGATGCCCTTCACGCAAACCTCCCCCAGCTGCTTCCAGGCCTGCCCACAGCAGACTCCTCCTGCCTTCAGCCACCTGAACACAGCTCTCAGGCCTTGGCCAGTCTCCTCTTCTCCAGGTCAAGTACCCTGAGTTCTTTTAACCAATCCCGGATGCTCCTCTGGATTACCAATGCCCTTCACCCAATGGAGTGCCCAGTCTGCCCAGGCTGGGTCCAGAGGGACCTTCACCCCCTCGTCCTGGACGCTAGGCTTCTCCTTCCAGAGTGTCAGACTGCGTGAGGTTCCCATTGTACACTCACGAAGAAGAAGCTTGTAAGCCACTAGAAGCCCAAGTTCTGTCTTAGCCGAGCGATCCAGCTCGGTTTCCATCTACACTTGAGATGACTTTCTTTTTTAAGCTCAATAATAACACTTTACATTTATTCCTATTAAATCTCATCTTCTTGGCTTCAGCCCAACGTTCCAGCTGGGCCAGACCTTTGGGGCACCTGATTTTGCCACTCAGGATGTGAGCTATTCCCTTGGGCTCTGCAGCATGCCCATCAAATTCTCTGATGCCACCCAGACCCCTATCCAAGTCACTGATTAAATAATTAAAGTGGCCCAAGAGCAAGCAGGGCTGGGCTGGAAGCAGCTCCCAATGGCTCCAGAGTCAGTTGTGAAATTTTCAGAAGTCACCTCAGAAATCAGCAAGCTCTACGCATCAGGGCTTGAGTGATTTCTCACAAATTTTGTCTTGTTTGATCCTCCCAACAACCCTTGAGGGCAGGGACTGTTTCTTTTCTTATTTGTAGCCCTAGTACCTAGCCTAGTGCCTGACGCATAGTAGGTGCTTAATAAATTGGATTGATTTCTCTAAATTACTTGCGTTTGTCATTTTACAGCAAAAGCATACTCTACTACATTCATATACACAATTTGTCCAGCTGTCCTATGACTCATGCCTGCATACTTGAGTTCCATTGAATACTTTGTTATATATGGCAACTTTCTTTCTGATAAGGACCTCCTTGTAGTATATGCCCACTAATGGCATAGATGGGCCAAAGGACAAGAACAGTCAATGACTTTTCTTACATAATTCGAAGTTATTTTATAGAATTGTTAGATCAGCACCAGCTCCAAGAGTATATTCATCTGCTTATGCCCCCAAAGCCTCTGTAACATTGATTGGTGCCATCTTTTTTTTTAATTAATTTTTTTATTAGAAAAAAATTCACCTTCTCTCCTTCCCATCTCACCCCACCCGAACCCTGTTACAAACATGTCAAATCAAGCAAAACAAACTTCCACACCGGCCATGTCAGTTTCTAGATTCATTCTCTTTTTCTGGGTTGATGTTCCTGTGACCATGATAACTTTCTATGGTGGGATTCTTTTTTTGTTTGCTCATTCTTCCAGCCTGCTTCCTGACTTCAGACTTGATGTAGGGCCAGATTTTGCATACTTCTGGAGAGAATGTCTGGACTGGTCCTGCTGCTGCTGCTGCTGCTGCTTTCTTGGAATACTAAGTGTTATGATTCTAGGACATCAGCTTAGGCTCTCAAAGTAATGTGCTCCAGGGCAAAGTCTGATCACTGTCCCCCGGTCTAAGCATCACAATTTCCTGACTTGGATCTGGGTTTGAGCAACAGGCTTATGGGTTTGCCTCTGGCTGAAGTTCCAGCAGACTGCTGCTAGGCTCAGTCACCGTCAGCCCAATGGACTTTGGTCTGGGACGACTGTCCTGGTTATTCTGTTGCAGGTTTCAGAGTGGACTAGACATTGGAACGGAGACCTTGAACCCCTCCTGGGGTCAAAGTCACATAGCTACTGCTATTGCTTGCTCCTGAACTTGCCCCTCACTGGTACATAGCCTAGGACCCATGACCACTCCTCACCCTGAAATGCCACCGCTAGGCACAGGTCTCCTCCTCAGTCTGCTTTGGACCTATGATCCCAAAACTAGGCAATGAGTCACAGACATGCCAGTGTGCACCTATTCCTTCACCCTTCACAAGCTTAGGCCCCTCTGTGCTAGAATGTTCCACATGGCCATTCCTGGCTAGACTGTGTCCCTAGTGTCCTGTGTCAACCTCGGCTAGAAAAACGGTTCGTTGTGATTTTTTTTTCCCCTTGGATTTCCTAATCAAGACTGCACCAAGGCCTGGTGCATTTTCTAGAGAAAATGGGAAGAGGGGAAAGGGGTAGGGCTGGCTGAACATCTTCCTGTTACTCTACCCTCTTGATTTTATCTTTCTATTGCAATCTTTGTTCATCTTTGCAAATCTGATGGGGTACAAGTGAAACCTCAGAGCTGTTTTATTTAGCATTTTTAAAATGACTGATGATCAGAAATAACTCAATCTTATGTGCTTGCATAAATTTCCTATATATTTTGGACATTATCAGACCTTAATCAGAGAAATTTGATGAGAATTTCCCCCCAAAATTAACTGTTTTCCTTTTTATTCTAGTTACATTGTGTGAAAAAATTTTTATATAATAGAAATTACATATTTTATCTTTTTATGATCAACTCTATCCCTTCTTTAGTTAAAAGTTCTTCTCCTGGTCATACGTGTAAAAGATAATCTCTTTCCATTCTCCTCTAATTTGTTTGTGATATATTTATATATAGATATTGTACTTCTATTTGGGGTTTATTGCAGTATATGCTGTTAAAGTGCTAGTCTAAACTTATTTTCTGCCAAACTTTACCAGCAATACTTGTCAAAGAGCTTTCCTTTTCCTTTTCAATTTAGAGCCCTTTTGATCAGAATTTTAAGACTTAAGATAAATGCATTCTTGCCAGTCCTTCTTCCATCTCTGGCCAGGACCAGACCAGTCATTTCTATATTTTGAGCCACAGTCCAAAAATCCAAATCCTGTTCTTAGATAACACCTTCTTAACTGGCTCAACACTTTCCAAATCTGCCTTCCTCTTCTGAACCCCTCGCCTTCCATGGACAACGATGGTGGAAAATACCATGTGTGGCCCCAAGAGCTTCAGTTTCTTCTCTAAGGGGACATATTTTTTAGCGACACTTCCTGAATTCCTCCTGGCATTGTCATTTGTGCCCATGGGAAAAACCAGAAGGGGGTAATCATCATCCAGCTAAAATTCCCACAAGTGGGACATGAACTCAGGCCACCAAATGAAGACTGGCAGGGAGTGATGTGGAGTTAACAAAGCAGAACCAATAGAATAACACGTTATTCTATTCCAACTACAAAAATGAATACGACTTAAATTGGCAAAAAAATCCCATCCTCAGATTGTCCCATAGACATCACATTATTCAGAGCAGCAGTTTTTGATAACTAGGGTAAAGAATTGAAAATAGAGTAAATGCTCCCTCAGCCATTAAATGACTAAACAGATGGAGGTTCATGAAGGCAACAGAATATGACCGAGCAGTAAGACATGGCAAATGTGAAAAATTCAGAGAAACAAGGGAACACTTACACAAACTGATGTAGAATGAAGTAAGCAGAAGGAGAACATGACGACAACGTAAATAGAAACAACAATGAAATGAGATGGAATTTTCTGTAATTACAGTGGTCAAGATTGACCCTGGAGAAGAGTTGGGAAAATGCAATCCACTCCATTCCCTGCAAAGGTGGGGGACTATGGGTATGGAACAATTCAAATATGGCCGACTCAATCTGAGCATTGGTTTGGCTTGCGGGTGGGGAACCTGCGGCCTTGAGGCCACATGTGGCCCTCTAGGTACTCAAGTGTGGCCCTTTGACCTAATCCAAACTTCACAGAACAAATCCCAAAGGTTTGGCTGAACTCCTTCTTTTCCTTTGAAAATGTTTATTATGAGGGAAGCTTACTAGGTAGGGTAATGGGAAAGAGAGATGCATTTGGAGATTGCTGTGATGTAAAAAACAAAAGGTTTCAACAAAAACAAACAAAACACTGATCAAAAACAACGGACATTGTTAGTAGTGTCTAAAGTACTGACAAAAAGAGAAGACTGAAGGATAAGGCCCCCCAGCCCCCATCACTCTTCCCTTTCTTAGGAGGTGATGAGTCATCCCTCACCTGGGATGCCTGAGCTCTGCGGGATGTGAGCGATCTGTTTTAGCATGTCATTTCTTCTGCGACCCCTCCACAGATCCTGCGGAGAGGCTGATGTTTAACAAGGCAATTGTTAACAGTTGCTCTGCTGGGTCTCTC